ATACCTCATGATATTGCGCTAAATAGTACCAACTACCATACCGTGCAGACAATCAAAACGCTAAGTGGTTAAATTTGCATGGAGTCGTTGAAGATCAAATTTCTGTAATGGCAAAACTAAAAGAGGAAGAAAAGGAGTGGGACGCACGGAGAAAATTATGCGAAGCGACGGGAATTATTGACGAACGTGCGATGGATGTGTGCTATGTAAGTACGACGCGGATTGACGTTCCGTTAATGTTGTATCTGCTCTATCATGGCGATGCGTCGAGCCAACGAATTCGGTTCTTTTGTGTAACGCGTTAAATTTGCTGCACGAGGACGTTATAGGCTCCGACGTAAGTATCGGTGAAAAAAAAAAAAAAAAAAAGTTTCGCGTTACTTGTTTGTGAATGCGCTTGTATAATTGATTCAAAATGGCGTGCGTTGTAAAACTGTACCTAGGATAGGTAATGCTTCTGTTTTATAGTATGCCATATTAGGTACCAATAAAAATGTTGTCTATTTACCCTACTTAAATACTTACATACAGGATTACGAGTGTAGCATGGAAAATCTAACAGGCGGAATATATGTGAAGTGAATCTCTCGTTAACCTAATTCCAACGGATGTTTATTAATAATTAATCGTGGTACATAGGATTCTATCACCGCAATTTAAGAAATGTAAGGTGAACATTTTTATTTTTATAGCGAGTTTTAAAAGTTTTGTTTACATGTTTAGGCGCGTGTGCCATTGATGAGCTAGAGGTAATTAATTGAGACTGGAAAAGATGAATGAGTGGTAGGTGACTTTGAGAAAAAAAAATTGAATCATCGCCTTTCTCATTCTATTGTATTAGAAAAAATAGAATTTTGTTTAACCATTAATTCATGATATTATTCAATAATACTTAAAAATAAAATACAGAATGTTCATTCATGGTGAAACGTCATTAGCTGTACTTTGATGGTTATTGAAGCAGCACAGAACCTTTTCATCAACAATGTTATTTTCTATATTACGTTGTTAACTATGATTATTAAATAGCGTAGGTAACAATTTAGCTAGTCTAATGTATCCACGTAGATTAAGAAGAAGGTAAAACATTAACGTTTCATGGTGTAGTTTCTTTATTTATTAGTATTATTTTATTTTTTTGTAGAGGCCAGAGCTCCGGAAGGATGGCAGATTACTAATTTGTTAATTTTTCTTAAAACGAAAATTAATCGTTTTGCTTAAAGTGCTTATATTCAGGGCTTCGTGCGCCAAATCAAACTAATTCCAAACCAATATTAATTATCGATAGCCGTGATATTGATATCGTGAACTTGTCGTTGAAATTTTGAGATTGACAAGTCTTTGCAAATACAATGTTCTGCATGCAAAATGCCCGAGGGATAGCAGAAGGTATCTTCGTATACGTATGATACTTGAATTAAAACTTGGATAAATTGTGTGCCGATGCTGGATAATAGTTTGAGTGTACTGTCAAAGTGCCTCCACTCGTTAATAGTTTGTGATTTGTTTGATTGAGTGATCGGAGGAGCGTTGAAGGAACCGACAAGATCTTTGCATCTGTACTATGGTCTTCGTGATCGTTCAACGTTATCGCGATTGACAATTATAGAATCTGTAATCGAGAAAGTTTTGAAGGCTTTTGAGATTAGCTTTGTTAAATTGCATGTTAAGTTTTTAATGGAATAATTAGCAAAGATCGTTCCAGAATTAATAAGTAATTTCAAAATTTCGCTTAAGCGTTAATTGTTTTAAATTGTTCATTATACGCTTAGTAATTGAACGTGGGTGTTTTCCTTTCTACTATTGACAAGCGGATTAGTTGAGCGTGATGTTCCGCTTTAGGGAATTATGACAGAATGAAATATTGATATACGATGCTTGCCGGACTCTGTTGCTTTGTGTATGCAGGTACACATACTCGTCTGTCACCTTAGCATAGACATGATACTTGAAAAACCAGTTTGCGCGAGCGTTTTTATCCGAGAGCTTTACTTTCGCTCATTCCATGGTTCGCGTGCGCATACTCACATGTACAGGGAAGGAAGAGTGAGGTCGAAAACTCTTACTCTCTCTCTTTCTCTCTCTCTCTCTCTCTCTCTCTCTATCTCTCTCTATCTCTCTCTATCTTTATCTCGTCGGCGTTGTTTATTCCATTTGACGCGGGAGAGCGAGCGAGGGTGTGAGCTATCAACCGCGAGGAGAATAACGAGGTCAGGTTCTTTATACGTACGTAGTTACACTATATATGATATCGATCCGACTGAGCGAAAGATCCTAAGAGTTCCCCCTCCGTCAGAAAATTTTCTTTACCTCTTCACCCCGCTACGCCATTCTCATCAACTCGCGCGCGCACGTGACGTGAGTTCTTCTCTTTTGTATTTTGTTAGAAAGACACCAATATATATGCTTGGGAAATTCATTCATTTTTATTAGGTTTCCAGAAAGTGTTGGCCGGTAAAATGGCTTTTCGAGATAAATATTCCTTCGAAAACTACATCTAAGCGTTAGGCTAAAATAAAAATTATACCGTAAATTATCCTATTATTGTAATGCTATAATTCATTGTACTAATTTGAGTATTTGAATTTGATAAAATGAAATTTTGAAAATATAAAACTACAAATCGACTTCTATCTAGAAATAAAAATTTATCTTCGGTAAAAGAATCAATGCTCTATTTTAAAGTCATTTTTAAGAATATATATATATATATATATATATATAAACATGTATATAGGTATATGTATTTGAATAATAGTATATAGTATAAGAAAGTAAATCTGATGTATGCTTCATTTCAAATATATTTATCGTCACCTCTCTTTTATCTTTCTATACAAAAATAATACATGACTATAGACATTCAGACATTTATCATATTTACGGAAATTCATTATATTCATATGTGACATTCAAACAAAAGTATATTGGAATTGTTTTAAAAAAGCGTTAAAATATGTGCAAGTAAAGTATGAAAAATGAAAAAAAAAACATTCATGCGAAAAATAAGATTATATCTTTGATTTTATTAAGAGACAACTATAGCTTCTTATATAAATTTATTGACAGGTGCCGTTAAGTACTCTAATATATTTGATGTAATGATTTAAGTTTTAAAGGCTATCTTTATAAAGCGTATATATAATAATTACATCATACCGGCAAGTCCGAGCTGCGAATCTCCTGTATATATATGTATATATAATTTTCAATGTATTCCCCAATTTATGCAGTTTAATTTTTCCTCGCCTTTACATCTATTATGTTCAGCACAACCATTATTATACAATTCTGTCTGTATTGAAAAAACCTACGATACAGTTATCTAAACGAAAACAATGTTCACAGCCACACATTAATTAATCAATCAAATAATTAATTAACATACTTGCATGTATGGGATTTTTTTTTATTTTTTGTTGTTTTTTGTTTGTTTTTGTTTAAATCTTGCTTAATTATTTGTTGCTTACGAGTTTTGCCATTGTCTCTATGCATAATAGATATAAAAAAAAAAAAAACATGAATCCCAACGAGAATCGAATGTTTACCCTCATTTACTCTATATGTCCGTGTTGAATCGAATATTATCTATCGTTCCACCCTATATATTCCGTTCCCTTTTTGCTTTTTACTATGCTTTACTATTTGTTTTGGTTTTAATATAATGTTTATAATACGATTAGATGCACAATTGCCCACTTACAATTAGTTTTTACTGCTCAGCATATTTTATTCGATATGACGTCATAAATAATTTCTATGCATTTTCGTTAAATGTTAATTCGCATATTTTATTTAATGAACTCTCTTTCCAATCGCTTTTTTATCTGCGCTTTTACCTTTCGCGTCTATTTGCGTAATTGGGCGCATATGTGATTGCGCTCGTTGGAATGATTCTTGAAAACAAAAAAGAACAACGCAATGCATTTCATAATCCTCGCTTCGACGCTATACAATTCAATTTGATAATTCTTATTTCAACATTTCTTCATCATCATTATCATCATCATCATCATCATCATCATAATCATCATTTTATTATTCTTTCTCTTCTTAACTCGTTCTCCTCGTTATATACTTCGTTTTTCTATCATTCACAACGTCAGTGTAATGTATTACGATAGAAACATACATAGTTTCTTGAATCGGAAAACCAAGGAAAAATTTAAGCACAGCACCTGTTGATTAAAAATTACTTTTTTCAAAATAGCAAGTCAAAAGAAAGAAACTCTTACATGAGGATATCTGTTCTTTTTTGTTCTATTATTTTCTTTAAATTCTGCCTTATTATCATTATCATTATCAGCAGTAACTTCGAGCAATAGGAGACGTGTATATATATATATATATATATATATATATATATATATATATACGTTTCAAAGTTTCTGAATGTACAGGTTTATATTGTACAAGATATTTAAATAAACATCACACAAGTTATGACGAAAGTGCACGAAGGTCGCATAATGACGAAGATGACGAGGCATTAGACCTTTTTTCAAATACATAAAGTCTCTATGTCCCTTTGCTTATCTAAAATTAAAGGTTTTGCTTTTTGTCAATACACTTTTATTTGTTCCTTTGGAGCGCGAGATAATCCTCAATTCGATCTATCTTAATATTTGTAAATTTTATTTTTTATCTTAATTATTTTCACGTGTACTTGATTGATAGTCTTCGCCTAGCCATGAAACAAAAATTAAGACTGCGTTAATTAAGTCGTACGTCTCCCCCCCCCCCCCTTCACCCCCCCCCCCCCTCTCTCTCTCTCTATATATATATATATATATATATATATATATATATCCGTATCTCTCCCTTCTCTCATTTTACCAATCGTCTTTATGTTCTCTTCTCCATTTTGTTGCTTCATTTTACTTCTCAAAAAATTGTACATCTTTTTTTAGTCTTTTTTTACATATAAATATTTCACTTCAATCTTCAAATTCGTTCTCCTCTTCTCTCAACTCCATCCCTCTACCCACCCCTTACCCTCTCTCAATTACATTCTCACGATTAGTTCATCTATCCTTCGCCCCGCTTATGAAGGCTGCTCTCGATGTTTTCATCGCATCACGACGAGCAAGCCATCCAGGAGTTGCAGGTGCACGTATAGCACGCCGTAGGTATGACTGGTGCATAATAATAGCCGTTGGCGTATACGTAGGCTGTCGGTGGCGTTTGATGATTCGTCAGTCGTTGCTGCTCCTGGCAAAGCACCTGATAGGCCAGGCTGTCAATCAAGGCAAGGGTTTGCCGTCGCTCATGCCCCATCAAGCACACCGTTGACTCCTCCACAACGCTATGTAAAAGCGTCAAGTATTGGTACTTCAAAGCCTCTTCCTCCGGCCCGACAAAGTGATTCCATAAGTAGTTCTCGAGCTTGGCCCTCTGCTGCCCGATGTCCGGGAAGTCGATGAAGAATCGGGAGCACATGTAACGCTCGAGAGTCTTGATGTAGCTCGGCTGCGCGGCCTTGTACATCTTCACCAATAGGTTGCAGTACTTGAGCAGTCCGCCTCCTCGAATCTCCTCCGGATGCCTCGTCGAGATGAGCTTCTTCTGGAGGTGATAGAGCGCCTCGTGAAAGTCCCCGTAGACCGATTCACCTACTACGGTAGGATACAAATTCTCGTCCATCTGGACCTTGCTGCACTCGTGGAACAGTAGCAGGGAGTCGAGGACGATCTGAAAGGAATCGACGGAGAATTCGAATTGCCGCCTCATCGTGTCGACAAATTTGAGCTCGACGTTCCTATGGCCCCGCGAGTTACCAAGCGATATCAGGGACCATCGATCTCCGTCGTTATTGACCTTGACCATTTTACTGACGTAGGCCTCCTTAAGACTGCAGGTCGTTATGCGCTTGCGGCTGACGCCCTCCGGGAGCAAGTCGAAGAGGGAGCCGAGGACGGCTGCCTTGACCTTGTCGTAATTCCGGCCGCTCGTCAGCTCAACGCCGAAGATCAGATCCAAGTCGTTGTAGGGCTGAGATTCCGTGGCGAGGACGTGCGAGGCCGCGCCACCGTTGAGCCTGATGTCGCGCACCTTCATGCCCGCCCCTCCGCTGCTCGGATCGGCTTCGAGCTTGTCCTTAACCACGGTCACCAAATCGCATAGTCGCACCTCAAGCGTCGGGAAGTTCCCCCTGCCGTGGATGCTGACGACTTCGTTCATCACGTCATTGAGTCGGCAAACCTGCTCGTAGCTAAGGACAGCGCGCCTCTGTTGGATCTCGGTATCGCTCGCCTTTGGCTTCGGCGTTTCGTTACTTCGCTCCTTCTTGCTGCTATCCTCGTTAATCTCGTTGGTCGTTTCGGCATTGCCGTCGGTGCCACGGCCGACAATAACGACCTTGTTGACGGCGCTGCTATTGTCGAGACTCTCGCTACCGCCGCTTACCTTCTTCTTTTCATGGGGAAGGCCATTCGTCGTGGGCGCATTGTTACTAATCACTTTATTATGGGTGATATCGGCGGCAACACCGCTTGTCGACAATTTTCCATTACCGATAGTCTTATTAGAGTTGCCATCGTTCTTCGTTGCTTTACCGTTGCTATTAATCTTGTCGTTGGAAATGCTGTTGCTGCTGCTGTTGCTGCTGCTGATACCGTTGCCGACGTTTGTGCTATTCTTATTATTTGCGCTGCTGTTCCTGTTGTTGCTGTTGTTGTTGCTGTTGTTGTTGTTGTTGTTGTTGTTGTTGATTATAGCACCGCCGATGGGACTGGAGCTGGCGATGCCGTTATTGTCCTTTGGACTCTTCTTAGCGTTGTATTTGCTCTCGTCATTGTTCTCGTCGTCGTTACAGTTGACGTTGTTGCTCTCTTTGCCATACGCTCGATCATCATCGTGGACGACTTGCTTGGCAGCTTTTTTGTTCACTTTGTAGCCTTTAACCTGGCAAGTGGGCTCCATGATTTCGCGTCCACCGGATTCCAAAGTTAGTCTGTAATCAGTAACAAAAGAAGAGGAAGGAAATAAATAATCAACTTATTGATCAATCATCGGATATATATTATTTAACTGATATTCATTTTTACTATTTTTTTTTTTTTAATTTTTTCATTTAAATATTCATTGTAGTCTTGTGAGAAACGTATCCTGCGCGTAAAAATTCCGAGCTACAATATACATGATTAATATACATAGATTTTCAAAACGGCTACATTACAAACTCATTATTGAATCGCAATTGAATCGCGAATTACGATTACTTTGACTCCCCCGCACCTGACAATCGATATATCGATTCGGGGCCGGCGAATAATGGAAATAAATTTTCGTTTAGAAAATCTCTAACGCGGCATTGATTATTCTCGGTCTCGCTTATAGTGTCTCGTCCGAATGTCGCGCACGCACCTCAAGGATTTTCCCGAGGATGGATTTACGCCACCTGTCGCCCCCAATATTCGTTCCAGCAACCGTTGTCGCCTCTCGTTTCTCGCTCGCTCATCTAATCAAGCGATTTGCCTCGTGGTCGCACCGGCGGCCAGTGTCGCAATACGAGTGAAAGGTGCGAGAGCCGCGCAGTGCCGAATGAGCGTCATCGAGGGAGAAAAGACTGGCGGGCAGACGAACGACGAATAGACAGAGAATAGGGAGGGAGATAGAGTAGGAGAGAGGGAGATAAGGAAGATGAAGCGCTTCACGAGATCGTCCTCTCTCTCTCCCTCTCTCTCCCTCTCTCTCTCTCTCTCTCTCTCTCTCTCTCTGTCTCTCTCTGCCTCTCTCACTCTCTCTATCTATCTCCCACCCTGCCTCCCTCTATCTCTCACCCTTTCTCGTGCGGGAGGACAACAAAATCGCATGACGTCATGGGCTAATGAGGAGGAGGGGCGCCTCCGACGATGAATGGGAGCTGGTCCGCATGGGGTTGCACGTAAGTGACGCATCATCCTCCCGTGTCTGACTTTGATGCTTTATCGACTCGATTAATGTCAACGTCGTGCGCGCGCGAACGTGATTTATCTCACGTGTCATGCTGACGTAAATCTGCTTTTTTGTCCATGTACTTTATGACCGGGTCAATATTTACTCCCGTGTGGCTGAGCCGAAAATTTTTGATATGTGCCACTAGCTGGCAGTATCAAAAACTGCATTATAGAGACTTGAGAATGATTAAAGCAGTCGAGACTGTTTGAGACGATGACGAGGATGGCCTTGGGTACTTTTGAACTGAACAATCTCGTTTAGATTTTTCGAAATTAACGATGCTCCGATTTTATGTGCTATTGGTAGTTAAATGCTCGCAATGGTCGCCTTAAAGATAATATGTCAATTTAATTGCACGAGTACTTATCACGCTGGGTTATATCACTTTAAGGTAATAAATAGCTTGTCTGGGATCACAAGTCTCATCTATTTATCTAAAATTTAATATTGTTAATTTCTCTCAATATCAGATACGTATATTATTAGGATTACGTTAATGCTTGATATTGCTCAAATTTTCTACTATTTCTTTCAAATATTTAACGGCTTTGACATTCTGTCGGCGCGCTACGACGCAATTTCTGCTTGTTGTTTAAAATAGAAGAGGAAACAATAACTTGTACGTGATTTTAATGTTGGTATCGATAGTGATTCGAATTACGGAGCCTACCTTTTTAATAAATAAATAAGATACTTTCTCAGCTCTTTCTATGCGTTACATACATACAATGATGATTTGTTAAATTTAATTAAATTTTTTTTATTCATTTTTTAATCATTTTAATAGCCATTAAATTTCACATTCATGGCAAAATTCGTCATATGACGCATTAATAATGCATTTAATAATACAATTGTTAAATTAATAGTACGAAATATATTTTACTCGGAAGAAAAGTAATAAGAGAGGCTGTATTTTGTTGTTCATCACCACATAGAAAATGGTGAAACGGTAATACGAATATATTGCTTTATTATTTTTTTTTTTTTTTTTTTTTTTTTTTTTTTTTTTGTGGAATAAGCATTGCCTGTATCGAATGAATTATCTCCTACGTATTAAAGCTCATTCGTTCAATAATATCCACATATCCCTCCGTCATGAATGATTATCTATTCTTTTAATTCGTCGATAAAAAGGAATAAACGAGAATGGCCGAATAGAGAAATAATGAAAGAGCACGAACGATAAAAAGGAAGGATTATGAAAGAATTTGTTACATCGGTCGATACGGATAAACATGCAAATCTTTTGTCAAGTTATCAGGCGATATAGAAGCCTAGGATGTCGAGAGATTTATCAAATAAATGTTATTTTAGAAAGCATTTCTCAAGGATAACCTTACATTGTAAAATCCTCGATATTAATAGAAGAAAATATTTTAAAAGCTACCATTTGCAATCGTCATTGATTTGACTGACTTGACTTACGTCAATATTTAATATCTTTCGAAACTTTTTAAATTTATTATACTCTTTGTTTGAACAATAATCGAAGATTTATGATTATGTGATTCCGGGCGCTCAAGGGTTCCTAATAAAGCAAATGAATATAACGAAAAACTAGTGGTTACTTTATGACGGAACATTGCAGCTAGGAATGGCTTTTAAACGTATCGACTTTAAAATCATGATAAGATGTCGTCTCTAATGTTGCGTAAAATGTCAAATATGTAGTACATGGAGAGGCAGGCAGAAGTCGGTAATGATTGAATTTTTGCCCATCCTATCTATTATTTCGAGCAATGCCACGTCGTCGCTCCTACAAATTCTTGGGATAATAGTAGTAGACCAAAGCTTCGAGTTGGAAAAATGCGCACTACGTGACAGTCGAGCGCCCGTCGCGTTTTACTTTCTAAATCCGCCGCGTTCTGCACACCCACGCGCGGATAATACCAATCCGCGTATGTATTATCAGCGCTGCGCATGTCCCAGAGGAAAGCCCGAGGTGCGCACCCCGGTGCTCCGAGAACATACGATATCGATCTGAGTGACAGTGTTGGTCCACACGAGCACCGACGACGCTGTGTACCTATAACGCGAGAGGACCGACGTCATTGCTCAGAGCGACATACCCCCCCCCCCCCCCCCCCCCCCCCCCCCCCGCCAATAACCTCGGGGTTGGGACGACGTGTGAAAAGAGTCGCCCCTCACGATCTTATCTCGCCGCGGGTCATCTTCCCGTTGCCATCGCACGTGTTTATTCTCACTTTACTTTGTCTCACGATAAGAGCAAACGGGCGGACGATCTTCCTCTCGCCATGGCAACAAGTGTAATCGACGTTGGGCACGTTCGCAGGGTTCCAAGCTCTTGCGTGGGATTATCATCTAATCTATTTATCAGCTTTAACGGAATTTCGTCCTTGATGTAATAATGCGTCACTGGCTCGTCGTCTTGCTTTCAGCCTTTGTTCGTTGACCCATATTACGAGCGAGAAAGAAGAGAAGCCCACAAGGGTTCTCGTCGACGACATTTTGCGTATAAACGCGACACCAACATTAGGGGCGAATATTCTTATCGACTTCTTGTCGAAGAATTTCGATAAGCTTGTTTCCATACTTCAAGTATATTCACAGCGTATTATTGCTCACGGAAAATAATCCGACTTATTTCCACACCCTTCATTACATATTGTTTAAATCGGCTAAATACAATTTATTAATCTAAAAACACGCACCCGCACACACGTATACACATATGCATTCATGCATGTATACTATAAGTCAGACTGGTATATTAAGATAATTTTGTTAATTCGTATATTGGATTTTTAACGAGGGCTGGAAATTTTTTAAAGCAGGTTTTTAATGTTTGTTGAGTCTATCACAATTCATAATCCTTTTTTCACCAAGAGCCGCGAGATTCATTGTCTTAAAAACTTTCCAATTACTATCTACGATTTCTCTGTAATTAGTATTCAATAAGTAGGCTCACTAGGTCTAAAAATATTTCGACCGTACAATATGATAATTCATATTATATATTTCTTTTAAATCTGCTGAGGGAATGTTTCTTATTATCAATTCTTATCATTAATAACGATTATCATAATTATTCTTATTGTTGCCTTATCGTGATAATTATATTATGTGATCCACTGTAAAATATTTTATAATTATATGAGAGATAGTGCATTAGTCTTACATTAAAAAATAAAAAGTATTAAGAAAAAGAAACAATTCTTTAGCAAAAAAAAAAGTATTACTAGATGAATAAGCACTTGAAAGATAGATTAGTGGTGCTCGATCGAACACTGTATATTATGAAAAATAAAACCTAGAAGCTATTGTAATTGACCTATTGGCTCAATGCAAGAAAATGTCTAGAAAAAGCGCTAGGCGAAGTATAATATTGACCGTACACAATTGCATTCAATCGCATAGTCTAGGACGCTAAGGGCAGTACCTATAGAATTAATAGTGAAATGTATTTGATGAAATATAAACATTTGAAGAAATAAAAGAATGCATTATATTCAATCTGAATACAAAATTATTACGAATTATTATCAACTACTGCTATGTATGCAAATTATTTAAATAGCATTTTAACAAATTTATTAATTATTATATATAGTTATTTATAATATAGATGATAGAACCTGGATGGGATTCGTTTAATACGCTTTATTTTAAATAAAATTTACTCTCTCTCTCTCTCTCTCTCTCTCTCTGTGCGTGTGCGTGTGTTTATCCGTCGAAATGCTGAATATATCAGTACAATCTCTTAATTACTATAATTAAAAATATGTTTTTTATAAGTAAATTACTATGTAATAACTTTAAACAAAATTATTATTATTATTATTTTAATTGTATGTATTTCTGTTAAAATAAGTGTATCAATCAAAATTATAGTTATTTGTTCATTTTTAATTATGCAGATTATGAGCATTATATCCGAGAATTAATTATCTCAAATAAAACAGCTCATATATTATAGATAGTATTGTACGCTCAATTGAAAAAAATATCACATAAAAACCATTTGTTATTAAGCGATTTAATAGTATGTTT